GATACCGATATAGCGACGGCCGAGACGGTGGCCAGTGAATCCTTGGAGGAGGCTCAGTCGGAAACAACCGATACCGATATAGCGAGGACCGGGAGCGGCGATCAGATATCTACCAAGTTCAAGAGCACCGATTACGAAAGCGAGACGGATGAACGCAGTAAGATGAAGAGATCTTGGATGGACGAGGGATGGATTCGCGGGACGAAATCGTAAGGGACACGCGGAAGTGCCTTTCCCTCAATCGCGATCGTACACGGAGAGACCGATATGGTTACCATATGTCTAATTAGGATTGGCACAACCCCAATAAATAGTAATAATATTTGGGACAGCTGTATCTGTGGTTGTCATACCCACATTGGTATGATAAGTAGCGGAGACAACTATATGCGTTTTGTCCAGCAAACTTAGTGAATGTTGCAACCATGGACAAAGTAAATATAGACTGATCGTCCCATTGAATAAGCTGAAGCTTGTGAAGAGAGAGAGAGAGAAGAATTAAGAAGACTTTCTTTCTCAGTTTTACACCATCGTAAAAGAAAAGAATCGTGCCTGTGCAGTACACAGCTGTGATTCTTTCGTGTCACGATGGTGAGACGGAGAGAGAAAGTCTTCTTAAATCTTCTCTGTCTCTCTCTTCACAAGCTTCAGCTTATTCAATGGGACGCTCAGTCTACATTTACTATGTCTATGGTTGCAACGCAAAACAATGTAGATGCCCCTACTATTTATACGGCAACATTTTCATTTTAGTTCTTTTTGCCTTGGCCGGTCTTTCCGTGTAATCTTGATAAACAGACTGATGAATTTGCGCGAAGCATCGTGTAGATCGCGGTTGAAGCCGGAGGAGGACGACGAGCGGAAAACAGCAACGTTCGACGTCGCGAGGCTACCTGACGCGGAAGCCGTCGATGGGATACGTCCGCTTGCGAAGTACTTTTCGCTCGGTTTCCAGCTTGTCCACCGTCGGCCTGGGATGCCCGTTGGACCAGATCGACGTAGGGCAACGCGAATCTGGAGTAGCATGAGAGTGAGACAGTCGGTTAGAAACGGAGCGGTGGCAGTTACGATTCCGTCCAAATTGTCCTCTAATTAACTTAATTTACCTATTCCTGATGATGTTTCTTCGTCATAGATCCCAGCGAGAAATGACTCGATTCGACGTCGAAAGGATGTTGAGTCGACGTTAATGCGAATATTTCGATGTTGATACGACATCGTTTTGATCGACGAGTCGTTTCTCATTGGGGAGAATCGAAATCTCAGCAAGATTTCCTGCGTCGTTAATTTATTTCCGAAGAACTCTGCGGATGTTCTTTGCGATGTTTTCGGCAGATGAGGATATTTCGGAGAATAGATAGAATGTCGAGAAAAAGAAGCGAAAGATCTTGGCCAAACGGGGCGATCGGGCTGGAGAAAGAAGAGCGGAAAAGACGACGGGGCGTTTTTCCCGGCGATCCGCTGGACGACGTCGAGGACGAGCGGAAGAGCGACTTTGCTAATCGCAAGGAGCTGGGCTACGTACGCGCGCCCGTGTCGCGTCCTGAAGCGAAGCAGAAGTTACTGGTGGATCAGGCGGTCGGCGAACGTCACGGTTTAGTAAACGGCGATTATGTCATCGTGGAGCTGCCGTCCGAGCGTGTCTATGCCAATGTGGTTCTTCATGGGACGAAGGGTATGCATCTGCTGGAATTGACTTCGCTGCGAGAACGCAAGAACACTTGGAAGTTCTGTTTCTACCAAGCGGTCGTGGCACTGCTAGCGAAAACTCAGTTGAGGTATCAATACGTGCCGAGGCAAGATAGGAGCATTCCAATTCCGTTTCGACGCACTCGGACAATTTTCATTCCCGCTTTCGCTTTGATTTAATTTATTTTTGAGAATCAAGTTATTTAGATTCTCTCTCCGATCAGTCCTAGATTTGCGTCTTCCGTTTAAGATTTGTTTGGAAGGAAAACTCTCGCGAAGGTAAGGGGATACGCGCGTGGGATTCTCTCTCCCGCGTGACGTAATTGTACACATAACGTCTCGCGTCGGAGGAATGAGAGTTCGACCGTGCTTTTACGAGAGTTAAGATTCAGTCAGAGCTGTCACCTTTTTTCAAAAGTAATAGAATGCGACGTTATCTTTGTAATAATGAAAGATACAAACACGTACGGAGCGGCAATATTGATTACATCTACGATCATGCCTGGATGCTCTTCACCCACACCGGCACGATCAACGTGAAGACGAAGCAGTATCTGGATGACATCGTCGTGTTCAATTTTAAATACAACGTCAAGATAGAGTTGGTCGACGAAATGACACACGTTGCGGCGTACAACGTCGGCATCTTCCACGAGGAGTACTTACTGAGGAGGAACCTTAAGTTAAGCAGAAAGGATCCTCTGCAAGTCAGAGTGGAACTCGGTTGCAAGAAGGTGATGGATTCCGGACACGTGCCCGCGCACAAGGACGTGGGCGATTTTGAGAAGTGGCTCGGCAAAGCGATCGCTCTGCAAAGCTATCGCGGCTGCATATTGCGCTCGTTCAGGTTCTCGTTGGCATTCTGGCAGGACGGTTTCTTTTGGTACCTCTACAATCCCTACCAGTGCGACGAGTACGGTCTCTGGGACAAATATGGCAGCGCCTGCATCGTCAAGTTCTGCTCCGCGGACTCATTACGAAGACACCTGATGATCCTCCTGTTGAGAGGCCATGCCTGGGATGAGATACGCTCGCGATTCTTCAATATGTCCGAGGCCAGCAATGATGGGATGATTTACTTCGACGTTCAGATCTTCGGTGTGTCTTTCGATTATCAACTGGATAATCCAAAGTTGCTGCAACGCGGCGTGTCTAAGCGGCCGCCACGCGTCGCCGACACTCCGTCGGATTCGCTCGAGATCGCGAACCGGGAGGACGAGACTGATCGAGAGGAGACCGAGGGGAGCGAGCGTCGGAGAGAGCCGAGGGAGAGAGCTGCGTGGCTGAGGCGTTGCCGGGCGACGACCTGGAGCAAGAGCGCGCTCACGACCCGGAAGAGACCAGACTCGGCCGAGGTGACTGCCGCTGCTAAAGCGAGATGGCATCGGTACTACGTGGAGGAACCCAACAGACTGTTCTCCCTGTGGGGCGAGGTGCACATTACGGACGATATGTTCGACGAGGCAAACCGCGGTATGCAGGCGTACGCCTGCTACGTGGTGTGCGCCGGCATGACCAGGATCACGGCGCCGGAATACTGGAGCCCGAATATCCTCGACACGATCGTCACGTGCGGCGATCGTTATTACACGCGTAGCAGGCACGAGGCCGACGCTGGCGCGAGTCGCTCGTGCAAGTATCTCTCCGATCGCTTCGAGATCGGCGCGATTCTGTTCGAGACTCGGATGCTGCCGGCCGTACGCGGCACACTGTACGCCGAGTCGAGCGAGTGCCTGTGGAGAACGTTGGAGCGAGTCTTCTCGAGCTATCACTTCGCCGCACTGACGTGCGAGAGCGCCTGTCTTGGCCTCTTCAAGTTCTGCGGGGCGTACTACATGTGCGACGTCAACTCGTTCGGCCCGCCGCTCTTCCGATACGGCCACGGCGCCGCGTATCTGCTGAGAGCCACGTCCTTCCGTAAATTCGTCACGGTGCTCGTGTTGACCATCGGCTCGTCCGAACGCAGCCGATTCAGCCTGAATCCCATCGAGATCCTCAGGATCGTTGAAATGGACGCGGCGCTCGGATTTCCAGCGAAGACGCGCGAGCGAAGGCATCATTTAGAGAGATTCGTCGGGAAAACGCCGGGAAAACTGCCGAGGTTTGCGTTCGGCAAGCGAAAGAAGAAAAGGATAAAAAGTAGACGGTGATCGATTCGATTAGAACAAGCTATAAATGTGAAAAAATAAAGAGTTAAAATCAAATTTCTTTTACATATCGTTTCAAACAAAATTTGTAATAGTTAATAATAGAGTATTATTCATATTGGAGCAATTATTCCGGTACAGTTGACCCCCCCTCACCCCCGAGCTCTCTTATCCTGTATCCGGAAAACCGCTCAGCGGAAAGTTCGAAATGCGACCGTTTCAAAATTCCTAAACGATCGATGGGCTTTAATATTTATGCGTGGTGGAATATCGAAGCTCCGCGTAAACGTTTATATAAACGAGAATGTATTTTCCACAACAGCGAAGCGATTTCAATAAGAAAATATTGTTGTAAAACCGGGTTGCGCTCCAGCAATAAAAATAAGCGATAGTAGAGAAAGAGTGTCGTGGGATTTAAATTTCTCGCGATTTAAATGGACACCTCGCTGCGCACTTGTATGTAAATCGGGGAATCTTCAATAAAGGTATCGCATTGGGGAAACTCGATGCCGCTCTCTACCGGATCGAACTGACGCCCGTGTCAGACTACGGATTGAGATTGAGATTAGGTTGAAATTTGGCCAATTAGAGCGAAAGTCGGCTAAACTTTGGTGAACTTTACCTCGATTGGTCAAATCTTAATCTAATCTCAATCTCAATCCGTAGTTTGACACGGGCTTCAGGACGAATAAAAATCAATCGCGAAGGATTCGAGATTGATGATGCAAAATAAACTCAACTCGATCTTACTCGACCTATAATTAGATTGCAAATCGAGAAATAAACGTTTAACCCAAAGTACCGACGAAGTAGCTGCGTAGGTAGGCGGGCGAAATTAATTTCGCAAATTAATTTTGTATAATTAGTCCTCCAGGAGAAAATTAGAGTCGAGACGAAAGAAGATTCGCTCGGTTAATATCGCGATGTCCGAATATTTGGCCGGGATCTGCGCACGCAATGCTATAATATACGTACCTCGCGTGTACAAAGATACTGTCACAAGCCACAAGATTCATTTCTCTAATGAACACGAAGACACGCCTCTCACGGATGCGCGGTAACGCGCAAGGGGACCAGACACACCGCACCTCGTGCTTCGATGCAATAATTTATTTTGGTATTGTACACATTGATCGTTAGTCATATTTACAATGGTATTTACAGCGCAGTCACGTATGTACACGCCCGTGCACCTTATCGATAAGAGCGCGAGAGTACCGGGCCGTCCTCCAATCTCGACCTCCTCGATTTACCGATGAGCAAGACCCGCGCGTCTCGTCGTCACCACGGCCGCACTACGCTACCTCGAGGTCGGAGCTGTCCGTGTCCTGCTCGAGCTTCTGCTGATGCTGCTGCTGCTGTTGCTGCTGCCTGCTCAGGCCCAGGCGGTCACCCACCAGCACCGTCGTCGCGGCGCCGCCGTCGTCGGTGCGCTGGCGCTGCTCCAGCTGCAGCTTCCGGATGCGGTCCTGTTCCTCCCGCTTCTGCTTCCGCCACTTAGCGCGACGATTCTTGAACCATACCTGGAACGAGGACAATTCAACGCGACGGTTCAGAGGGACTCGTGTAAACTAATCGTCCACTTGGCGGAACTGAGGTCAGGATATTAAAAAAAAAAGTGTAACAAATATTTTCTCACTTGGAAAACTCGAATAATCCCTAAACTTTGTCTCTAAATTAGAAAAGACGCGCGAGAAATGAAATATCGAACGAACCAGGTTGTTTAAAATGTGATTATAATTTGAGCAAGAGCATTGCAGGGAGTGTACAGATAGAAAGATCAAGTTATTTGAAAGCAACATTACCAAATGAAGGATTAAACAGAATTTATCTCGCCCGCGGTTAAATGTGTCAGATCGGCGTAAAAGGTTCCTTTTTCCATCGAGCTTTGTATTAAATAAAACTAGAATTCTTTATAAAAAGAGGATTGAAAAATTTCTCTCCAGATAAAAAAAAAGCGCGCACTGAAGCCCGTGGCGGTAAATTTGCTTCGCTGAAAATTTATTTCAACTTTATTTGATAGATATAACAAACCTGTCGCACCAATCGAACGACGGATCGTTAATGAGTGAAACTAATAACGAATAAAGCTGTCGTCTGTTTTTACAGTCGCGGAAGAAATTGTAAGAGGTGTCTATATCTAGAAATGAATGTTAAATATAATTACACTCTTTCTCCAAAAGTGAAGACGTGATGTCATCGATTTCTATTTACCATGCAATTAAATGTATCGAAGCGGTCGTTCGCTTCCGGGGACCAACGTCGAGAGGTGCGCGTGTAATTGAGAAATGTACAATTTCGACATCGTCATCGCGCGAGACGTGTCAACACGCGCGCCGCGAGAAATCACCTAACGAAGTAAGAAAAGACGCGTGAGAGACATGAAACGAATCCCCGGCGTACACCCATTTGTCCCTCACGCCTGTCTGAATCAATCCGAATGAAAACCGACAATCAATATTCAACCCCTGCTCGCTCGTTCGTTTTGCTGCATTAGCCATTGTAATAGCTTAACCCTCGTTCACTTTGAAGAGCTCTCTCTCTCTCTCGGATCGAGGACGGTGGATCCCGTTAACTTGGCGCGAGATGCGAAATTAAATCCGTGACGATCGAGCGACGCGCTTCGCGCGGGATCACGGGGCGCATCATCGACGGGAGTTTTAATAACTATAGTTGTCGTATGTGCGCTAATTGATCAATCAGCGCTGTACGCCGGGCTCTCTTTTCCCCCCCTCGAGCAAAGTGTGGGAGCGCCGATAATTTCCGAGCTGTTGTTTAATCGCGTCGATCCTCCACGGATCCAACGACGAGTCGACGTGATCTTGGAGGCACACAAAACAGCGCCTTAGGTTTCTCACCCCCCGTCCTCTACCCTTCCTCCCCCCCCGGGCCGACCTGTTTCTAGCTCTTTCTTTGTCCTCTCGCGGTGCTCCCCTCCCCCCTCATCCGGGCGCACCAAGAGTCGCTATTCTACTAATTCTGTGCAAACACCGTGGACTCTCGCTCCGAGAGTGGCGGCCCCGGGTACCAGACACGCAGGTATATGTTGTTCCCGTCTTTAAACAACTCTCGAGACTCGGGGAACCTTTCTTTGGCGAAGCCGACGCGACGCGGGTGGTCCCACGCGAGTGTCAATGATTCTCGGAGTCCCCGATTGCTCGACGGAGTCCGTCGTCGGCCTGGGATTTCGTCGGGCGTCGCGGACGAATTTTACGCGACTCCGTCCTCGCGATTCCGAGTGTTGTCGAGACCGTCGAGATAACGTCAGCTGACATTGATCAGGTTCCGATCGACTTCAATTACGACTTCACTTTTCGACCAATCGTCTACGAGGCTTAAGCCTATTAGACAGTTTATTCGTCAAGTCAGCTTTACATGCTTTAATAATGCGAAATCACCAATGACGATTTGATAAATCGTCGAGTTGAAAAAAAAATTGCTCTCTGCAGAATCAAAATAAACGCGTTGAAGCGCACAAAACGGTCCGCATAAAAGGATCCCGCTTTCAGCCACGATGCCGTGTAAAAAATCACAGAAATCACAATATCGCTTGCCGCCAGATTGAGAAGCTAGATCGTTAATTACTGGAAAAATAACGCTCGATCGGCGACACAATGAGGTTATTGAAAGGTAAATTTATACGAAATTAACGCGACGCGGAAAACGCGCGTTCTCCCTCTCTCTTGTCTGCGGAGAGTACACCACTTTAGAGATTATAAATTGCACGGACGCGTGCACACGCGCTGAATCCGACACGCGTGTGCGTGCGTGCGCGCGCGCGCGAACGAGAGCGCGCGAGCGTATGTATAATTGAAGTAAACACATTATCGCTAAAGCTTTTAATCTAGCATGCAACTTGTTAGCTCAAGTCGACCGAGGCCCCGATAAATACCCACCGCGGTAAATTTTAATGACCGCGTTAAAATATTATGGGCTTTTATGCATTAGGACGACAAACACAGGCCGTTCCATCCCACTCAGAAACAGCGGCGGTGGCGGCGGCGGCTGCGGCGGCTGCGGCGCGTAGTTTGCCGACATTACATTACAAATTGTGCGTGCGGACCCGGGCCATCCGGACGGTCAATGTTTGTCGATCCGAAATCCAATATTCCGTTCACGGCTCGAGAAAGTAATTTGTCATCGGCTCAAGCCCGTCGCCGCGCGGTGCAGCTTCGCCGCCGGTCGCTCGGAACCCGGTAGCCGGTCTCTCTCTCTCTCGTTTTTCGAAAGTTGACCGCCCGTAATTGTCAACACGCGCCCTTTTCCACGCTACTCTTTCCCTCGTCCCTGCTCCACAATCTTGCTTTAAGTGAGCTGTAAGCCTTAAGAAATTAACCAACCACAGACGTTTATTCCCGTCACTCTCACCTGCGATTGACTCATTTCTTACGGCTTAAGGCTTACTTAAGGCAAGACTGTGGACCAGGGGTTATCGCACCGATAATCGACGTTTCGCGACACGGCCGATCGCGATCGACGCGCCCGCGGCTGTGATTTTAACGATCGGACGCGACTCTCGCTTCAGGGCGAGTGTACTTAGATTTTCTCAACTCGAAATTTAGTTGTTGAAATGATCAACGGTGAGTACCGATGATTATCATTAATGTGGGTGGCGAGCGTGGCGCAGAGAAATGTACGCTGCTTAGTAAATAAATGAACGAAAAGGTCAGAGTTCAGGTCCACGGACACAGCTGGTTTTTTCGGAGTTTTCCGAAGAGAAGTGGCAACCACCGAGAATACTCCGCCACACGTACCCCGTTAGGGGTGTGTAGCCCCCCAAATAACGTCTTCTTCGGCAAGGTTAGCAGCCCGCCGAAGATGAAGTAAAACCAAATGCTCAAAGCTTCAAGCTGAATTCTCGAGGAAGAAGAAGGGCTCGTCAATACGAATCGCGCGATCGATTCTTCGTCGAAGGATTCGTCCGGATAGAAAAGTCAAACGGGAGACCCGCCCCCTCGGTATGACGGAACGAAAAATTCAACTGACCTCGATCCTCTCCTCCTTGAGGTCGACCTGGAGGGCCAGCTGTTCCCGCAGGAGCACGTCAGGATAATGCGTCTTGTCGAAGGTGGCCTCCAACTGTTCCAGCTGCTCCTCCGTGAAGATCGTTCGATGGCGACGCTTCCTCTTCGCCATCGGGCCCATTCCCGGATTGTTGGGATTTATCTGGTAGGGATGGCCGGTGTGATAGAAGGCCGGCTGTCCGTGCAGGGAAACGCCGGCGGCGGCCATCGCCGCCACGTATCCCCCGGGATACAGTCCTGGATATGCCGCGGCTGAAATGAAAAGAAAAGAAGAAATGACAGAGGGACGACAGAGCTGCGTCATTAGTAAACTCCGGCTGCGTCCTCGGGTGTCGCGCGCCTCCGAGAAATGACAATAAAGATTATCCGCGCGCGGCCGCGAACGCCATTTGAACTTTGCGCCGCATTAAAGATTCAAACGTCCATTCTCGCGGCCGCGATTATAACATTTAGGGGAGCCCTGGGATCGATTGTGCGACGAGCGCGATAATTGTAACAATCGCGGTAATTCGGGCACCAAATCGCCGGCCGATTGACAAAAGGATTACTTCCTTTCGCGAGGGCCTGATAACTCGCGCGATCGGCGATCGGCGATTTCCAACGTGTCTCCCGGGTCGGGAATCAACCGGGGAGGCCGAGGAGCCGCTCGCTGCGGTTCGGAAACGAATGCGATACCACGAATTCGCGGACCCCATTCACGCCGCTCGGGATAAAGAGGTCGCCCGGCGCCCCCGTCCCGGGGGACGTTTTACTTTAAAATCTCGAAGAAAGCTGCTTAAACGCGACGTTGCGTACGAAAATGCGGGGACGGTAAAAATTTCTTGCTTTTACCCGCGGCGCGGCTCTCTCTCTCTCTCTCTGTCTCTCTGTCTCTTTCTCCCTCGCGCCCATTCTTCGCGTTTGCATGCCTCCTTTTCACGTTCACCGTCTTCTAGCGGGATTGCGGAAGGAGCTAGATCGTTCATGCATGATCGAAACGGATTGCGGATTTCATCTCGCGTATCCCCAGTGCGCGGGAGCGCAAGTTTCCTTGAGGGAAAAATACCTAAAGCCCCCTGCGGGCATGAAAGAAATTTTGGCGTGTTTCGCACCGGCTCTCTTAGGATTTCGCGCCGGGTCTTACATTTTTGCATTGTAAAGTGTTAAACGTCTCTCTGTTGGGCGAAATACGTTTACCGATCCACCGAAAATTGGTGAAATGCGAACGAATTAGATTCTTTTCTCCGTAGAGGCGAATAAGACGGGATAAAGTGCGTAGCCCGCGAGAAATAGGCGGTCGCGGGCGACGGAAGAGGAAAAACGGAGACCGAGGCTCCGTGACTTTAACAATTGTTTATTCGCTGGCGATACCGAGTCGAAAACTGAAGACGCTGACTGGCATACTAATTTCAAGTGAACACTGCGATGCTGCAGAGTCCATTAATGGCAGTAAAACTTGACGCGCGAGCGTTCGAAATGCTCGTGGAGCAAATAGTCACTGTCGCGCGCGCTTGAAAATTCTACGCGCGCTCTGGGACAAAAAAGACAGTTCGCAACCCACAATTAGTAATCGAATTATTTGGATTGTTCGTAACTCTAATCTTTTACGAATTTTACCCCGCGTGACAAAAACTCGCAATTAGCTATTCTATCTATATCCGAGATTTTTAAGTAATACTAATCAATTCTCTCAATTAGTCCTGCCGACATTCAGTAAAGCAAAGATAATTTTCACTTAAGAGGCACTAACCGAAATGTTAAGTCGCTTAAATACAAAAATACACGGCCAAAATTTTTCCCACAGTGGAGTTACGGACAATCCAAATAACTCGATTACTAATTGTGGGCCCCAAAATGGGTTGCTGTCTCTTTTTTCCCAGAGTGAACAGAGGTATGGTTGAAAAATGTATATAATCACATCCACGTGAAACGAACAAAATTTCACGTGCCGTGGACGCGAAATAGGGTCGAATAATCGCCTCGAAACGCGTTTAACGCTTTACAACTCGCCAAATTTTTCTCTCTCTCGCTTCGGAGTTAATAGACAATGATTTTTTTTTCAATTTCATACATCGCTTCCAGGAAAACGATCCACCAATTTATTTACGGAATGTAAAAGAACGCGAGAGATCGGTGCTCTGTCGCCGGGCACTCGATTTTCCATAAACGCTGCGAAATTGATGGCCGGCATTCTGAACATTATCGACATTCTCATCCGTATTGCGAAAAAGATTGCAAAGAACGGTATATTGCCTCGATGTCGCATGATAAAACTGTAATGTAATCGAATAAATGCAATTAACATTTCCAGCGGGGCGCATCAATTAATCGTTCGACCTCGCGTAATTGTACAACACGAGCGATCCCGAATGCCTCGTTTGCCCGAGCGTGTTATTATTCCTAATATCGGTTTCACGATGCGACTCCATTTATAGTGTCGACTCGCGACACGTAGGAGTTTAGCGTAATCCAACAATACGAACTCAATTCGTCGAGGATTACGCCAAGTCGCGGGTTCTGTTTGGGACACGATTACAAACGGTGGAAGACGCGCTCGTCGGATTCCAGAGAGACTTCAATGGAGTAACGTTAATTATAATTTCATGCATAAGAGAGCCCGAATGGCGAAAGTTGAAGCTCAAAGTGTAAGAGGCGTCCGTGGGAGAAGTCTCAGGGATTAGGGCGACTTTGGAGGTCCCTTCGAGGGACCTTCGGGAGAGAAGAGTCACGGCAAAGTTCAGGGGGGGGCGGCGTGGTACCCACCGAGAAAATCCGCCGAGGTGAACGCCAAGTGGTGCAGCTGCTGCTGCAGCGGGTGCATCGCCGCGGCGGTGGTGCGACCGGCGGTGGCCGACTCGATCGTCTCCGGCGTCTGGATGATGGACGTGGCGACGGTGGTGGTGCTCGTAGGCGCGACTACGTTGCCGATCGGCCTCGGCGCCAGGATGCTGTCGATGGTGAAGAGCGAGGTGGGGGACGACATGGTGGAGGCGGAGGTGCCGGTGGCGGGTCGCGAGGGGACGAGAGGTTCGCGGGCGCCGTGGCGGTGCCGCGGCATCGTCTCCTCCGTGCCGATCGGGCTCCTGGCGAACGTGCGCTCGTGCGCGGCATCGGCGGCCGTCTCGTTCTGATTGTTGCGCCTGGTCACCGCCGATATGTGATTCTGCGCGTCCGGCGAGTAGCTGTACAGGTAGCTGTGGCCGTAGCCGGATATACCGGGACCATCCGAGTGCAGCGGACTCGACGGCTCCGTCATGGGCGAGCGTGATCTCGGCGAGTCGCTCGCATAAATGCTCTCTACCATGTTACGTAACGCGGGATATCAACTCGCGGGGGTGCAAATGTATGATCGCGGCGGACGAGTCTTCCACAGGCTCGAGGCGCGAAGACCAAGGATGAGCGCGGCGGCCCGCCCCTCGTTCTGTCCACGTCCTCCTCCGGCGAACGTTACGTCCCCGCTCGCATCGTAAACCGGAGAGACCCCGGACTTGCTCGGCGAAAATTCAAGCACCGCGCGCGCGGACCTGGGTCGACGGGGTCGCTGACCCGGGCTATCTTTTCTACGTTTCGTTTCTTTTTTCCCTCTTTCCTCTACGGCCGGACGGGACGAGTTGGCGCGATCCTGCTCTGTGCGGATACGAGGCGGCAGCCTCGCGGACGACTCACCGACGGCGAGTCATCGAGAACGGAAGACGGGACGAGTCGCGGGAAAGGCGCGAATCCGACCTCCACCCCCCCCGCTCTCGCCGTCGCCGACCGCACTTTATCCGCACTTCGGACCGGCCGTCGAGCCGCCGTCGCGGGGCGCCTAGCGTCGTGCGTCGCGGACACGGACTGACATCTCCCCGATAAAGGATATACGTGGACTAGCCATAACGGTGGCCGCCGCGATGCCGCGTGGACCAGCGGTGCGCGCTACCTTCCTACCCTACCCGTGCCGCTCCGTTCCTCGCGCACAGCCAACAAAGCCACCCCCGTGGGCCCCCGTGAGCCGCGCCAGCCGCGTCGGTGGCGGACAGAGGGACACCCTCGGGTGCCGCGTCGGGTTGGCGTGCGTTGTCCGCGATCGGGGCGTGGCCCCATCTGGCCCCGTCCACTTTTCCACCACCCGGCCGCGCGGCTCTCTCGCTCCCCTTCGCGCCCTCCGCCCCCCGCCCGCCGCCCCGTGCGCTGCGAGACGTGGGCGCGAGGGAGAGAGAGAGAGAGAGAGAGAGAGAGGGCCGACGACGACGGCGACGGCGACGAGGTTCTCTCGCGCGGAGGGTGCGATCGCGTCGCGACGCTCAGGGGTGGGGGGAGCGCACCCCTTTCGGATGCCGCGCCGCGGCAACAGACACACGCGAGGCAAAACGCGCGCGCCTCCGTCGGGAGAGGGTGGTCGCGAAATAACCCTCCGACGGAGAGAGAAAGAGGCCGTGGGAGGGAGTGAAAAAACGTCGCGGAAGCGAGCGACATATTTGTCGATGCATATTACGAAGGTTACCGAACCTCTCGCCCCCTTGTTGTCGTCGTCGCTCGAGCACGCGATCGAATCGTACGGCTTATTTTTGCAAACCGTCTTAAGTCCGTGCTTTTCGCAAATGTAGACGGGGCGTTGGGAAGCACTCCAACGCCTTCAACGCGTAATCTCCACTTATAAAAAAAATATATATATATTTAGAGCGACATTTCGAAAGAGATTCTTTACAACTCTAATGCGACTTTAGATATTTATCAGCGTTTGCGTTATTAATCGTTAATTGTTTACCGTTTATGTGGCAGCGTGTCGCGACGCAGCAAAGGAGCAGCATTTAAATCTGACTTTGTTCTCAAAAGGGAAAATTACGAGTTTGCAACTCCAGTTTCTAATTTTAATAATAACAAAGTACTCTACTTATATTCTACTTATGTTCTACCATTCTGCCACTTGTATTCCACTTATAATTTGTGAGACACTTCGTAAAACATTTTTATTAATTTACAGCCAATGCTGTAAAATTGAAAAATTGAGAAAAGTCATTGCGAATCGCTTCAAGCGATCTCTCGTATTATCTCAGCAACGTCCAGGAGTCAAACTAAATTCTGTTAAAGTGAAGCGCATGAGAAGAATGAAATTACTCGATTACGTAAACCATTGTCATTTTCTTGCCAAACAAAATTAAGTAAATGACTGGAGGAAATCTCATAAGTCGCCAGAAGTAATAAAAATCTTCAGAAGATTACCTGACCATGTCTGGCAAATTTTACTATACGGATTTACTGATGCAATTATCACTTGAAAAGGACCACAAACAAATAGGTAGAAACGTTGTGAGTTTAAACATTAAAGTATGCCAGACATGGTCAAGTAATCTTCTGCAGTTTTTAAAATTAACTAATTTCAGCAAAATTGAAGCAAGTTGATCACCGCGGGCTGCAATGCACTTTCTTCATTCCATGTGAAGAGAAATGTACAATCCTCTTTTCGAGAGAACTTTGGTCATTTTAATTTTATTCAGTACAAGGCTTGACCTTTCGCACCAACCTAACAAATCTCTGTTATCCATCTTTTCTTCCCTTAAGCTTAATTCGCAAAAAGCCCTGCTTTTTCATAACCGCGCAAAAATAAGGCGGATCAGTATTTAAATTTTGTTCAAATGCAGCGGAGAGCCTCAAAGAAATATGTCGCATATATTATAATATTCTATGCTATTATAATTTTCCAGGGTTGGAAAAGCTACTTTATAAAAGTATCTAGTTACAGTTACAAGTTACCAATTGTGAAAAGTAACGCGTTATCTGTGCAATCTGTGGAGGTTTAACAAATGTATAAAGTAACTATTATAAAATGTAACTGAGTGTACAGATGGAGAGAAAGTAACGAAGTTAAGTTAGAGTTACCAAAAAAAGTACCTTCGTTACAAGGAACGAGTTACTCCCCAACCCTGTAATTTTCGTACAATCTCGTCATACGATTATAACAAAATGCTCCTCCGTCAACGCATTCGGTTATTATCGTCCCAGTATACGTCCCACTCGGTTCTCCTTGCTCGCGGCCCGCGTTAGAATATCGGTAATCTGGTAATCTTAGGTATGAGCTAAGATTAGAAATTTGCGACCGGTAATCTTAAATAATCGAATCGATTTGTCGACGTTATGGGATCAAACAGCGAGCGCAAACGCCCCAATCCGAGCGCGATGAACCCCACGCGGAAACTCAGGCGTCGGTAGATCTGGATTATGGCGGTTGCGCGCGACGAGAGGAGGAGGAGGAGAGAGAGAGAGAGAGAGAGAGAGAGAGAGAGAGAGGGGGGGGGGGGGGGGGGGGGGGGGGAGAGAACCGGACACACCTCTCTAGCGAATCCGGGCGCAGCTGTTCAATGATTCAAATCCCGGCCAACGCATCCGTATTAATAACATAGCACCGTTGTAG